AAGAAAACACAAATGAGCAGATAAGACAGTTAAACAGTCTTGAAAGATTTGTTAGTGGAAGGAAAAGTAGTCAAATGTACTTTAATTAATTAAATAATAAACGTCCATATTATCATATATAATATTATGGTGTTACACAAATTACTATTTTCCCTAAATGCACACCCCCTCTAAATGCACGCCATGGTCTGGTCCCAGCAGCGTGCACTTAGAGGGTTTTCTCTGTAGGCAGTTGACTGTAATAGGATTATCAATCTTCGGTTTAACGAGAGCCGCTATACGTTGGGTGGTCAAAAAGTTTTGATCGTCTAATTTTTACTCAAAAAGGAAATGTAGTAGAAAAACTTTAAAATGGTTGAGTAAGTTCTCCGTGTTGGGATATTTCTAGGGAAATAATTTACGTTCTTACTGATTTGAATTACGAAAATGGTTTCAATAAAAGAAGGGATATTGGACGTGATTAAGTACGATTCTTAGAATTCAGGTAAGGTTTTATATGTTTGTCAGAGGATATATATAGCAGTCATTCTTTTACTGAATTTTTATAGAGTTAAATTAATCTTAAATAATTGACTTGCATTGGTTCTTTGTTTACGAGCTGGGGCTCACCATGAGTGCAAACAATTTGTTGGATATTCTGGGTAAATGCATTTGATTGTGATGGGGCTGATTGAATGTCTAATTGTTTGTTGTGCGTCTATGATTTCGGAATAGTTAGCGTATACGACCGAGATCGTTTTGAACAATTGATATTGTAATTAATCAGCGGGTGTATGGTGGGATAATTAAAAGCTAAGATTTTTTAACTTTAGCGTTGAGTGACAAATCAATTGATTGTGTGTTTCTTGCCTTGTATTGGTGGCTTTTGTTTTGGTAGCTTACCATGTGTGCAAACAATTTGTTGGATATTCTCGGTAAATGCATTTTGATCAATTGATATTATGGAGAAATGCTCGTGTGTTTACGATTTGGCGTAATAGTAATACAATCGAGACCATTTTTGAACAATTGCTATTGTAATTTACCTGATGCGTGTGGTGAGATAATTAAGAGCTAAGATTTTTTAACTTTAGTGTTGAGTGACAAATTAATGATTGTGTGTTTTCTTGCCTTTGTATTGTTTACGAATTGGCAGGCTGACCATCAGTGGGCAAACAATTTGTTGGACCATTGCAATCAATCGACATTGTAAAGAAGTAACTTTAATTTCTAATTGTTTGTTGATGAAGATTATCTGGGAGAGTTGCGAATTGAGTTAAAGCAATAGAATCCAAAAATTGATTACTTTGAGGAGGATTAGTCCGGCGGCAGATAATGCTCGTTGAAAAGGGTCTGGTAAAAAAAAGTATCTAATTCGGATGCATTGTCATAATCAGTAAGCGAGAATAGCGTCGAAGTAAATTTTTTAACTGTGTGGACGTGGAGCATAACTAGTGTTTATAAAATTTATATTGGTAGTATTACACGTACAAGCGATTTAATTTTTTAGCTATTTGTTCAGATTGCGATTGGAAAAACTGCTTTGAGTGACTAAAGAAGTTGGTGATAATTGCTGTAATTAGCAAGAGTATTGATTTTGGTGGTAGGGGAATAATAAATTTGTACAAAAAGGACAGTTACAACAGGCGTAAATATATTCATTTTACGAGAAGGCAGCGGCGTAAAATTTTTTATTCGATGGTTTTTAAGTAAGTTAGCAATGTGATTTGGGAGCGGGATACAAATTTGGGAAAGAAACATGTTATGTTATGTGTTACATATATGGTCACTCCCGGTCTTTGAACTTTAATTATGAAGAATAAATAAGAGGCGGTTAGATGTATCGATTGAAAGTATTGCTTTGAGTGACTCAATGAGTTAGCGATACTCACTGTATCGGAAGAACGTGTTCTGTATTACGGGAATCGATTCAAGTACGTGTATTCGTTAGATGATGTTTATTTTCTAGACCAAAGATTGGCTGTTTGTTCACAATCGTTATGTTACGGCCCATTCTAAGAGCGGGCTGGCCCGTTTCGGGATTGTCACTAGTTGCTTCCATTTTATCACATAAGATGTATCATCCAATTGGTGCACGGATTATTGCAATGTGATAATCCCAGAACCGTAACAGTTAACGTTATTTCTTGACGTGATGAACGCAAATCACAGGACTACAAAAAAAACCCAAGACATTCGACAAGTTATTAGCTAAATTCATTACTGAATAAGTAACAAAAAGTACTTACAGAGACTTGTTGAAAGTTGTATGCGAAAGGAACTAAAATCCAATTTGAAACCAATTAACTTTCAAAAAAAGAGAAATGCGAGCTCAATTTGTTCATAATACTGTAATTATAATCGAATCGTAGTAATATTCAGCAAACGCTCTCAAACGCTCATTCGGCTCAGTACCACGTCTTCATAATTAACGTGAGGACCAGAGTTTTTTTGTTTACTAAAATCTATTATAGACTCATATGGCAGCCCCTGCTTTCTAAGAACGTATGAAGATGATAAACGCCGATACTTGTGTATGGAAATAAATTATATTATCATTCATTCCCCGAATAAAAATATCATTTTTGTCCAAGCTCTAAATCTTTTAGTGCTTAGATCTCCTTTGCGGAGCAGGCTGCTCTCATTATTTCCATTTGCCATCTACGCTCAACTTCATTCAGTCTATATGACTTGTTTCTTGATCTACTCTTCCGTTGAGGACTAACTGGTTCACCAGACAATTTTCTCCGACAATTGTCACAATTATTATTACACTGGTCAGATGGTAGATTTTCTCCAAAATATTTCAACACTTGAACCCTTCTACAAACGGACTTATTCTCACAATATGAAACTATTTGCTCAAGATCGTTCAGCAGACGTTTCCTCTGATCCTCTGGATATTCTTGCGACTTGTTTATCAAATAACGTAAGCTGCTTTTATCTTTTTTGGCGTAGAATAATACACATTTGGACGGCTTCCCATCTCTTCCTGCTCGACCTGTTTCCTGGTAGTATCCTTCAAGTGACTGAGGTAGGGTGTGATGGAGCACATAACGTACATCCGCTTTATCTATTCCCATACCGAACGCGATGGTGGCGCAAATAACATCAAATTCACCACTTTGCCATCTTTTTTGGATTGACTGTCGTTCTTGTTGACTCAGTTTCCCGTGATAAAATGCAGAATTGATTCCATACTGTACACTTAACTCTTCATGCAGCTCCTCGCATTGCTCAATTGTTCTGCAGTATATAATGCCTGCTTTCCCGACACCTTCATCTCGTATAAAGCCTACTATATCACGCGAAATTGTCTTGCTTTTCTTCTCTCTGATCTCGTATAATAAATTGGGTCGATCAAAACTGCGAGCGAGTGTGACCGGATTTTTCAAGAGTAGCGTATTGACCAAGTCTTCACGAACTTCTCTATTGGCTGTAGCCGTGAGTGCCATCATCGGGATGTCCGGAAATCGCTCTTTGAGTACTCCGAGATTACTATAGTCGGGTCGAAATTCACGACCCCACCGGCTAACACAATGAGCTTCATCAATAACGAATCGAGCAAGGAACTTTCTCTCATACAGCTTCTGTATCTTATCCATTACTTTTACCCCTTTGCCAACCATCTCAGGAGTCAGGTACAGCAATTTTATTTGACAATCTGGACTGTCTAACTGGTCATAGACCCAATACCTGGACTTTGCATCTTGAAAGCTATTAATTACACACGCCGTAATTCCTAAATCAACCAAATGTTGCACTTGGTCTTCTATTAGTGCTAAGAGGGGTGATATAACGATTGTAACTCCGCGTGTAACACCTGTTGTCACTAGAGCTGGCAACTGGTAACAAAGACTTTTGCCACCTCCAGTGGGCATCAGCACAAAGGCGTCTCTACCAGAGAGTGTTGTATTTATTGCTGCCAGTTGTTTCTCTCTGAAAGATCGCAGTTTAAATGGATTGGTCAAGATAGAATTAACCTCAGCCGACCATGGATAGAACTGCTTTTCCGCCTCATCAATGACCGCGGAATTTGACATCGAAGATAGCGACAAGATATCGGATGAGATTTGGACTGATTCAATCTTTGAGTTAAGTTTTGCTATGCGAAATACCATCTGCGATCTGTGTGAAATTAAAACATTAATATTAAATAAAATGATATGCATAATGCTTATCATTAATAAGTACCGTTCATAATGCAGTGCTTGAACGGCACTTTTGTCAGCATTAGTCTCCTGTAAATCGAGAATCCGATCTGCTATCTGTTGCTTTTTTTGCTTAGCTTCCAATAAGTCTATCTCCAGTTGTTGTAACGGAGGTTGTAACTAATTACCCATCAAAGCAAAATCATTTGATTAGAACGCAATTAATCACACGCTTTTGACGCAGGAGTTATGAGAGCAATTAGATTCACGTACATTTCGTCCATATGTCATTGTCATATGCATTCGTATTTTGTTGGTGAATGTTCCAGCCCGGTTCAATAAGCGTATCTTCTGACGAATTACTAAGACGCGTTGAATCATGATGCGAGAAATAAATGCTATTTATTCACTACAGGTATTTTCCTGGGGGGTGATATAACATAGTTATTGATCGGACGAAAAGGTTGTATGGTAAGTTTCGTCGGATTGCCTCGTTTTGTTTATGTGATGTGTACCTTATTGGTCATTGCTATATCTGGATAGTAATAAGTGCATCACGTGTAATGTAGTACAAGCGTATAATAATATGCGAGTTTCTTTTCCCCTAACTATAATAATAACGACAAGAAACGTCGATTTTTTTCCACGGTGGAAGAAGACGATAATAATGAAACAACTCTCACCATTCAGCCAAGGAAAGATTTATATGTAATATTTTGGACAGCTTATCGACTTAACCAAGCTTGCCAGTAACCCAAAGGCTCTAAATAATGTAGTAAGTCAAATGCTCCAACTTAATGTCATATCATACAGTTTGCATCGTGAAACCGCAGGTTATTCTCCCAAGCACTTCATCATTGGTGAGACTGATATCACGGATTAATACTTTCCGACAATTTTATAATATTTTTTTGGAATGTGTTAACAATAAACCAATATGTTGATTCCCTCACTGAATTGTGAACAAACAACCAACATAAAATGATCTGACATTTTTTATACATTTATAAACTCTATGATGTATGCGCAACATGACTTATACTATTTGTTTTTAATATAAATACTGTATATAAAATGCAAAACTAACTTATGTCAAGCCCCCCTTCAGTTATTCCTCTCGAGCTATTCAAGTTTTAATGGTGAATCTTCATTAAAGGAAAACGATAGCCCTGTCGCTAGCAATCGACGAACAAAGAGATACAACCAAAAGAGTGATTAGTCTTCGATTCGTTGACTGGGACATTTCCGTAGTTCCTTGGTGTTCTTGAATGAGTATATTTTCAGTAGGATTTTCCTACCAATTGTAGCATTCAACTAATGCGATATTAATAATCGAGAACAATAAATAAATGCACTATTAACCGTATTATTTTACTCCAACGATGGAATTTTATTCTCCGTATATGATTATCGCGTTCGTTGTACGCTGTTTGTTCACATTTAATGTTCAAATTTCTTCTGGCATTAATACGTTAGACGACAACGTCTAATATCCATGTTTATTTTTCGCGTCTTCTTATTCGAAATTTAGCTTCCACTTCATATGTATATCTGATTCTTTTGCACGTCAAATATACTCATACGTCGGGTTGGCCATTTAGGTCGCGACGCACAGTAGTAGTAGTTTTAACTGGCTATGAACAGTTATGGATATTCCAGCAAATACTGTTACTATTGACCAACTGTTTATATTATCAGCTTGAATTCTCCTATGCCATTTATGCCACGATGAACATGATGTTACGATACGTTTTCAGAATTCTTGAATATAATGTCTGTATATATTCTTTACTTATTTTATCGTTTTTGGCTTGCAACCTTTAATCTTTTGACACCTAAAATAATAAATAGAATAAGAATCCATAGGCGGGAAGGGGTTCAAAAGTTTTGACTATAAAATTGTTATTTACTTAATTTAACTATGCCATTCCATCAAAATATGTCTCTCAGCCTTCTGCACCAACCCTGAAAGTACTCAGGAATACTCTTCTTGCACTATGCTATTAATTTTATTATTATAGCTCAAAACGCTTGATTTTGCCTTGTGTCATTTGGTTTGGGGTATGAAAACAATGTCAGGAAGCACGCATCAACCGGATGGTGTGAAATTGACAAACGAAGCTTCACCGTCTACTCGGATTAGCTACGCTTTCTATTCAGGAACGATTAGATCAAACTCATTACCAGTTCATAATTGGTCTCAATATTTACTTTGTAATAAATAATGTACTCTATATTTTCTACCCCGGCAAAGGCAGCTAACAGTGCGCGATTTTATTTCGGCATCTTGTTAACTCAACCATATTGACATACGTGGAAGCACATCGTATAATTCGAAGAGGAGCA